TTTAGGAGGTGGGCCAGAATGTCCTTCACCAGGACTAGGTCCAGTATTCAAGTTGACACAATTATGACCTTCTTTGTATGGGGCCGAAGAAGCAAGGTTAGTGACCTCCTTATCCATGTTGTTCAATTGTGTTCTTGCTTCAAAACATGGTGCAACACAAACTAACATAGTAACCAAAAGCATAAATACTGTAAAACGAGCCATCACTGATTGGAGAGTGATATCTAGTTAAAAAGAAGATAAAAAAAAGAAGTAATGTAAGTTTATTAAGAATTTTTTTTTATTTATAGACAATAAAAGATAAAACCTTTAAGAAATCAAGACTAAAGTTCATTTAATTAGTATTAATTAAAATTTTATGAAAAAGAAGAGTTTTGCTTTGGGTAATTGTGTAGGACTAGATTAATTAAACTAGAGCGTTTGCTGTTCCCATCACTAATTGGACCCCTTGCTCTACGTTATTTGGATTATTAATATATGCTTAATTCACTTGGAAGACTTCTACGAAATTTAAGAAAATAGATATCTTTTTTATCTTATGTTTTAAATTATAATGTTTACAACACCTTACTTTCACCATATGACATGTTTAAATATATAAAATTAAATACATTTTGGTATATACGATATAAATTTATATTGATAAATACGTTTTTATGCTCGTGTGAATACTACAATGAGATCTAAAAAATTCCTACAAAATTATGTCAGCGAGGTAAAAGTTCTCTACAATTAGAGCCCGTTTTGAATGACAACAAAAAAGTTTTTAAGTCAAAAATAAAAAATAAGAAATCAAACTTTAATAATTTTTGAGTAAAAATAAGAACTTTTTAGAAGTTCTTTTAAACTTATTTCAAATTATTTTAAACGTTATTAATAATTTAAAATAGATTTGGTTAACTTTTAAATCAATTCAAATTGGCTCTTAAACCAAGCAAATTGATTCTGGTTAAGATAAAGACAATTCAGCTTAATCTCTTTATTAAATAAATAACGAGAGCTAAAATTGAAAATCATTAGATTAAAGAATAAAAATGAAATATCACTTCAAAAATAAGAACGACAGTTCGTACAGAAACTCCTTTATTAGAGATTCACTTTTAAATCGTAACAACAATATAAAATTCTATTAAATAATATTTTCTTTTGAATAAATCTTACACAACATAAATTCAAAATAATTTAATTTAATATAAATATTGAATTTAGAAAAATTAAAAATTTAAGTTTAGAGAGAAACGAAGAGGGCCTTGAAAATGCACATTGATTTTCATCCAATATAGTTAATGTGATTTTGATTGTGATTTATATGATAATTTTAATTCTTGATTTGGAGTGAAGATTAATTACTTTCGCGATACCTTCAATTTTCATATGACACCTTCCGAGAAATTCAAGTGAGAAAGTGTTTTACGAGTTAATATCTTAAAATATCAATTAATTTAAAAAATTAATTTAGTCATTATATTTTGTTCTATAGCGATAAAATCACTAAATAAAATTTATCATTAAAAACTATCTAATATGATAAATATTTTTCTTTACAACAGATTAACATGAATACCACTAATAAATAAAAATTTAAAAAAACTTATTAAAATTATTTTTACACAAGTACTCTAAACAAATTCCCAAAAAAAAAGAAAGAGTGTAGATCTTTTATTTTGTTTCGTTTTTAATGCCTTCTCTATGGAAATTTGTGCAATCCATAAATTTTTTGAATATAATTCATAAGTTTTTTTTGTTGGAAAATGATAATCTAGAGCAGGAAATTTCATATGATATTATAGACCTATTATATATAGTAAATATAAGAGTATTACTTTCACTAATTAAGTTTGGGGGTCTTTAAGTTTGCCCGTAAAATTTCTTATGCGATTTAGGTTTATATGTATAAAAATAATTTATTTTGTCATGTTAGTTTATTTTTAAGAGATAATACACAAGTACCCCTCAACCTATTCCCGAAATATCAGAAACACACTTATATTATACTAAGGTCCTATTACCCCTGAACTTATTTTATTAATAATTTTTAACCCCTTTTCAACCAACGTGGCAGTATCTTGTGGGCCCAACGCTGATGACTTTTTTTTCAAGCTAGTGCCACGTAGGCCAAAAAGGGTAGAAAATTACTTATAAAATAATTTCAAGGGGGTAATAGGACCTTAATATAGTATAAGTGTGTCTCTGGGATTTCGGGCATAGATTGAGGGAACTTGTGCATTTTCCCTATTTTTAATGATACATTTAGTTTATTGGTTTTGTTGATACAAATACATAAATTAAGTGATTTAAAACAAAAATTAGTGACATTGCTAAATAAATTTTCAAAATTGAATAACCTTTTAAGATATTAACTCGAGATTTACTCCACCAATCTTGAAACATTTGAAATGAAACGACTAACCTTTGTGACGAAATCGCATTGAAAAGTATAAACATTTGTGACGAATTTATTTGTCAAAAGAATAATTTGACGAATCGAAAAATAAAAGTCCCACTTAGTATTTCAGTTTACCCTAAACTAAGTCTAATCAATTATTAGCATTTTATATACATTCTACTTCCAACATTTAGATAAGACCTTTGGAACCTTTAGTCAATGCAAAAAATAATAATTAGCAAGCACACGTTGATCAAATATATCATTAATTCATAAATGATCATACAAAACCATGAACAATTTTTCACAAAATATTGTACTTAATATATTGCATACTACTGCAAAATCAAAATTTGCACATTAACTAATTGCCATAAACATGGCCAATTCTATGAGGTGGACCAGAATGACCAGCTCCAGGACTAGGTCCAGTATTCAAGTTACCATAAACATGACCTATTTTAGGAGGTGGACCAGAATGACCGGCTTCAGGACTAGATCCAGTATTCAAGTTTCCATAAACATGACCAATTCTAGGAGGTGGACCATAATGTCCAACTCCAGGACTAGGTCCAGTATTTAAGTTGCCATAAACATGAACAATTTTAGGAGGTGGACCAGACTGTCCTTCTCCAGGACTAGGCCCACTATTCAAGTTGCCATAAACATGACCCATTTTATGAGGTGGTCCAGAATGCCCGGCTCCAGGACTAGGTCCAGTATTCAAGTTACCATAAATATAAGCAATTCTAGGAGGTGGGCCAGAATGTCCAATTCCAGGACTAGGTCCAGTATTCAAGTTTCCATAAACATTACCAATTTTAGGAGGTGGGCCAGAATGTCCTTCTCCAGGACTAGGTCCAGTATTCAAATTTCCATAAACATTACCAATTTTAGGAGGAGGGTCAGAATGTCCTTCTACAGGACTAAGTCCAGTATTCAAGTTTCCATAAAAATTACCAATTTTAGGAGGTGGGCCAGAATGTCCTTCTCCAGGACTAGGTCCAGTATTCAAGTTGCCATAAATATAACCAATTCTAGGAGGTGGGCCAGAATGTCCA